CATCAATTTACTTGTTAAACTCGAATTCTAACAGTAAGAATACTAGCGATAACAGTAAGTTATTGTTATAATAACGAGCCTCCAAGGTCTGCCCTGCAGAGGATAGGGGACTTGGCCGCGCCCTCGATTCTGTCCCTGCAAGGGATGTGGTCTCTAAACCCACGCTTTAGGGCTTACAGGGTTTACAGGGCTTATAGGGTTCGTGGGGGGTAGAGGGTTTATCGCCGTTTATAGGGTTTATAGGGTTGCAGGGTTTGCAATAATAGGGTTTATTGTAGGGTTTAGGGTTCAAATTTTCGGGTTCAGGATTTGGACTGAGCAACTAGAGGGGTTCACAAAGTTAGGGGTTAGGGGTTGAAGGGGGTTCAAAAGGCTGAGGCATTACAACTACTTGCAAGGGTTCAGGTGTAGGGCTTAGGCGAAGCTAAGTCGCCTACGCAGAACTACCTGGGTCAGGGTCTGGAACTAGTAAAGCTTCTGACTCAGCTATGATTGAGCTGGCTTGTCGTTGCGTGAAATGCTGCGCTTTCAAGCCCAACTCGCTACAACCGCAAACTTTGTCACTCAAACGTTACCGGTATCGAAGAGGGGGAGCCGATAGTTCATGCTCGTGAATACGGCTTGAAGCTTTAGCTGGGTTGAGGGTTTAGGGTTAGGGGCTTAGGGCTTCTGGACATTTTAGGGGTTTAGGATCTTGGGCCTAGGTTTTTACAGGGTTTCGGGCTTCTTAGGGCTGATTGGATCTAGTTTTCATTGTTTCCAGCTCAATTTTATTTTGTTATTGGACTTTGTCCATGTTTAAGCTGACGTGTCATTGCCCCCTAAGACCTATCTGCTAATTAATATAGGGATCGGAAGAGTTACGAATAGTATTCCTTCATGGTCCCTTTATCACTACAATAAGAATCCCCAAAACCATATTAGACCCCCAGATTGCCTCGCTGGTACCCCAAAAACCGCCTGTTGCCGCCACCGCCGAGATCCTGCAACGGCACGGGCCGCAGCCGCTTCACTCGGCGCTCATCCGGTCGAGGGCCCACACCCCTTGCAGCGTCAGGGTTCAGGAGATAGGGTTGAGGGTTGAGGGTTGAGGTTGAGGGTTTAGGGTTTAGGGTTTAGGGTTTAGGGTTTAGGGTTTAGGGTTTAGGGTTTAGGGTTTAGGGGGTCGAATCATCACAAAACCGAGTAAGCCCAGATCCTCAGAATTAGTCACAGCAGCCATTAGTTTGGGAGGTGCAGAACCTTTGTAGGCCGTATATAGAATAGTAGACATCAACATACTAGCTATATATAGACATGATGATACATATATGTATATACGCACACACGCACACCCCTGGGTCTGATGTGGAAGGCATGTTGAATCTTGTAAAGTTCTATGGACCCAACTGGTGACTGGTGACAAGAAGCCAAAAGTAAATAAACCCTGCACCTTAAACCCTAAACCCTAAACTCTGCACTCTAAGCCCTAACAAGGCAACGGGGCCTTCTTGTGAGACCCTGCATCCTAAACCCCAAACCCTAAACCCCAAATCCTATACCCTAAACCCTAAACCCTAAACCCTAAACCCTAAACCCTAAACCCTAAACCCTAAACCCTAAACCCTAAACCCTAAACCCTAAACCCTAAACCCTAAACCCTAAACCCTAAACCCTAAACCCTAAACCCTAAACTCAAAGTCGAGCCCTCAACTCAAAGTCGAGCCCTCAGGTTTTTCAAGGCCACGGCCCCTCATGGAAGTGACCTCCTCGGGCCGAAGGACTGGTGCGGTTCAGGGTTTAGGGTTTAGGGTTTAGGGTTCAGGGTTTATGGGGCTTACAGGGCTCCTATAGGGCGTATGGGGCTTATTTGGGGCTTATTTAGGGCTTCTTTAGGGCTTCTAGGGCCTTCTGGTGCTTGTGGGGTTGCAGTCAGGCTTCTAGGGCATTCAGGGCTTCTCTACCCCGAAACTTCGAACCCTTAGGGTGTAGGGTTTAGGGTTTAGGGTTGAGGGTTGAGGGTTTAGGGTTTAGGGTTGAGGGTTGAGGGTTGAGGGTTTAGGGTTTGGAGGGGGTTTAGGGCTAACCCCCTAAGCCCCGAAAGCCCTAAAGCCCAAACTCTCAATCCCTAGACCCTAAACCCTAGACCTTATAAACCCTAAACCCTAAACGGCTTCATTCTAGGGCTTATAGGGCTTCTAGGGCTTTTAGGGCTTGTAGAGTGTTTAGGGTATCAGGGTTTAGAGTTTTGGTCAGGGTGCATATGGTTTTGAGGCTTTTTCGCTGTGAATTAAGGTAGAGATAAACCAAACCCTAAACCCCAAAGCGGTTGTGAGATGATTGGGCTCCCCGAGTAGGTCGACTATTGGGAGGGGGAGCTTTTGTGCTGCTTCAGACTTCGACTCGGTGTGGAGGATTTAGGATTTAAGGGTTTGGGGTATAGGGTTTACACTCCAAAATATGGATGAGAGTTGCAATACACGCAGTGTAAAGCTCCCCGTAAACCTGAACAACCACCAACCCTATACCCTAAACCCTCAACCCTCATCCCTAAACCCTGGTCCCCGCGGGACGCCCCACACCTCCTGAGCTGCAAAGCGAAAGAAAGCTGGTTTTGGTTATTAAAGCCTAAACCCTATGCCCTAAGTATACCGTGAAGCCCTGAACCCTAAACCCCTAAACTCAAACGAACCCTAAACTCGAAACCTGAAAAAGCCTGAGCCCTAAGCCCGACACGTGCTTTGCTGTTCTTGCCATCTCAGACGGAAAGTGGAATTGAACGGTTTTTTCTCGGGTACCCTTCAGGAATTCTAGGCGTAGGCTTAGGGTTCAGGGTTTAGGGTTCAGGGTTTAGGGTTTAGGGTTCAGGGTTTAGGGTTTAGGGGGTTAGGGGTTTTAAATTTTAGGCTCGAGAGGACTGAAGGTTCAGGGGTTAATTCTGGGGGTTGTTCTATACTTGGGCCACCTCTCAGTCTCAGGCACCTTCTTCATGGAAGCCCTCAAAAATGTCGAGGCACCTCCGAAACCACCCCCACCAAAGAAGAACAGGAACCCTAAACCCTAAACCCTAAACCCTAAACCCTCAACCCTAAACCCTAAACCCTGAACCCTAAACCCTAAACCCTAAACCCTGAACCCTGAACCCTGAACCCTGTAAACCCTAAACACCCCTAAGCCCTACACCATGTGTTGGCGGAGGAGTTCGTGGAAGGGCTGCAGCATCTGGGCACGTACGAGTGCAGTGGGGACCCTGAGGCTTCCCCCTCGGGGCTTTAGGTTTTAGGGTTTAGGGTTTAGGGGCCTTAAGCCCTCAACCCTGAAAAAGGCAATAGGGCATAGTGTCCCAGACAAAACCTTACAAGGTTTTGCAGCTTAGTTTTCGACAGTTCTGCCAATTCTTCAAGGCCATTTGGGAGGAATGGTGTAAAAATTGATGTAGCCAGGGTTGGCGGGGCTCTCTGGGCTAAGTGTTTCGAAGCCTCTAACCCTAAACTAAGCCTTATAAACCTTAGCCTCAACCTTTAAACCCTAAACCCTACACCCGAAGCCCAAAATCCTAAACCCCATAGACCCTAAACCCTAAGTTTTTCAATCCCTGAAGATGAGCGTAGTGCCCGCCCCCAGCCCGCAGCCTGGGAAGACAGGCCTCCAACTCCCCATCAACCTATAGGCTCTTAGTAGGGAATGAGGGACTGAGGTACCCTATTTGCCGCCCCCCCCCCCCCCCCCCCCCCCCCCCTTTAGACCCTTTTAGCGGGACAATATAAGGTACCGAACTCCCTCATTCCCTCAACCCTAGGCCCAAACCCTACTAACCCAAAACCCTAGACTCCAGACCCTAAACCCTAAACCCTAAACCCTACACCCTACACCCTAAACCCTAAACCCTATACCCTAAACCCCAAACCCTAAACCCTAAACCCTAAACTTAAACCCTAAACCCTTCTAACAACCAGTAGGTAAACCCTGAGCCCTGGAGCCAGGTCCCACTCCTCCACGCGGGGCGCCTCTACCAGCTGTTTGAGGTGCCGTGTTCGGGGGTTCGGGGGGTTCACTGTTGGGTTTCGGGTTTAGGGTTTAGGGTTTAGGGTTTAGGGTTTAGGGTTTAGGGTTTAGGGTTTCGGGTTTAGGGCTTGCTTCGGGGAGATGATTGCGTTGGCATCACGGCTGGACAGAGGATCTTGACTGTTTTTCTAGCTGGTTCTTAGTGGGGAGTTTGACGGATTACATGGGGTACCCCATTGCCCCATTCCCTTCTAAGAACCAAGGTTTGTTTATTCCTGCGTCCTTCGGTTACCAGGTGTGGAGTTTGGGGTGTAGAAGCGGGCGACAGAATGGTGGGTGTAGGGTTTTGGGTTGCGGCGGACCTTTGGCTTTTGGGCTTTAGGCGATTCAGATCGTTCTTTTTCTCTCTCTTCCCTCTCTCTCTCTCTGCCTCGCTCTCTGCCCCTCTCTCGCACTCTCTCTCTCTCTCTCTCTCTCTCTCTCTCTCTCTCTTGCTCTCTCTCTCTCTCTCTGGCCCTATCTCTCGCTTTCACTGCTCACACTCTCACATGCATGGGGCGTCTAGAATTCAAGAGATTGGGGTTTGGGGCCATCAGTATTGCATGGCTTGAGTTAGAGACGCGCAAAAGTACGTCAAGCCAATCCCATGGCTGGCAGGCAAATAGTTCTAACCTTGCGGGAATCCATGAACCGAAATCCCGAAATCATCCTAAGCCCTATAAGCCCGAAGCCCTGAATCCTAAACTAAAGCCCTCCCAAGCCCAAAAGCCCGCCTAAGCCCCCAAGCCCCAGTAAGCCCCAAGAAACCCTCTATTACCCCCATATTACCCCCGATTACCCCCCTTACACCCTTTTACCCCCGTTTACACCCCTTTACCCCTTTTTAAGCCCCCAAGAAACCCTGAACCCTAAACCCTAAATCCTAAACCCTAAACCCTAAACCCTAAACCCTAAACCCTAAACCCTAAACCCTAAACCCTAAACCCTGAACCCTCCAAGAGCTCCGGCCCGCCGCCATGGACACCTTCGACGCGGACGCGCTCACGCTCTGCACGGCAGCTCCCGCAGCGCTGGAGCAGCCGATGTTCCGTGGCCCTTTTGCGGTTGAAGAAATTAATTCGCGTGTGCGGGGTTTAGGGCGTGCCTAAGGTTTATGGTGTTTAGTTTTCTGTTTTTTTTTTTCTGTTTTTGCGCGGGGGGGCGGCCCTCAACTCTCAACCTATATAACCCCACGTCGGGATTTGTGGTGGGCTTCAATCCATCGCATCCTGCATGGTGGCAGGTACTACCTCTCGCCTGCACAGGCGCTATTGGTGGAGGAGTCAGAGATCCTCAAGGACGTGACTGACACCCAAAGCCATGCCCCAACCCTACGCCCGAAGCTAACCCTAAACCCTAAACCCTAAACCCTAAACCCTAAACCCTAAACCCTAAACCCTAAACGCCCTAAACCCGAAACCCTAAGAGGCCCAAGCTTCAGCCTGAAGTCTAATTATCCTTGTCGGTCTTTTCTTGGGGGGTTGATTGAGTTTTAATCGGGTTTATAGAGTTTATAGGGTTTGTAGGGTTTACATGTTAGATGCATGCGCACTAGCACGGCAAAAGTCTTTGAGACTTTCGCTCTTCAAGCCTGAAAGATGTCTCGAGAAGTGGTTTGTTCTGCCGCCTCGCAACATCAACATCGTTTGGAATTTGATTTTTGGGGCATGTAAAGCTACATATACATATACATATGTACACACACATTCATGATGTTATATTCTTATTTGCATGTAGATGTATTTTGCTACTGGCATTGACCTTCACATTGGAATTCAGACTTGTGCATGCAGATTTGCTCCCTAAACTGTTGATGCTGAGGTGACTTCGATGGGGCCGCGATCGTCGCAGGCACAGAGGCTCAAAGAGCCGAAAACACCCAAGGCCCGGAAAGGGAGTCACAGCATGCCGATTGGCATCAGCATAGCAGCACAACACACAAGATTGCAGTTCGGTTTGTGGAAAAGAATCGCACGCTTTGTGCCTCATTTCGAAGCCATGGCTGCACTGAACGGGGGTAGCGAGAGACCTGGCGGATCTTCGGACCGCCAGGTTATGAGCCCAACCTCCCTGGGCGCTACTTTGCTGCAAGGAGAGGCTTGTGGGCCACCGTATGGTTCGGTGGCAGCTGCTTCGCCTTTGAGCCGTGGAGACAATGGGCAGGGCTTTGGTGATGGGCCAAGGCCTCGATCTACAACCGGGGCTATGACACCGATGGCGAATGGAGTGGGCCAGGTACCAGATGGTACAGCACGTCAGGGCCTGGAATCTGGACCGGTGGTGCAACCGACTCAGGAAACGCCTGAGCCAATGGTGGTGCATGCACTGGCTGGTCAGGACAGACAACTGGAGCTATCGGTGGGCCAACAACAGCATCTGCAGCTTGAGCTGCAAAGGGTCCAGACTGTGGCAGTTCCTGAAGCTTTTGAGACTTCACACCAGGTGGAGTTTGGAGTGGCCAGGTCTGACAGTGGTGGCATGGCTTCGCACGACCTGGAGATGCAGTATCAGGTGGTGGAAACCAATGCTGGCGGTTCAAGTGTTTATCGCTGGATGACGAGGCTGACGGAGTTCCTGAGGACTAGCACGGCTGCAGGAGCTTCGGAACTTGGTGGTAGGGTTTTAGGGTCGTTAGCTGTATCCCCCCGACAGAGCCTACATAGCACCCCACAGCAGCGACAGAGCAGCAGAACCCTGTTTTCTCCACCAGAAGAGCTACCTTCGCCTCCTCATAGAACTCAGTCACCGCCTCAGCAGAGAATGCAGCCGTTGTTCGATGCTCATGCGGTGGAAAGGATGCAACGGATGCAAGGAGCAGCCCCATTGCTTTATGGCCCAGGCGAAAGTGGGCATGGTCAGGGCTCGGTTGAGCGAGCTTAACCGAATCATCTGAGCTGAGGGTCGAGGCCCAGAAGCGCTTGACTGACTACTATCGAAGTCGTCAAGAAGAGACTCAGGGCGAATTGGAAGCCCTACGAGAGCAAGTTCGAGTCCTGACTTCTGGATTACCTCAAGGACATGGTGCTTTTGGAGGGCAAGGTCAAATGGGACTTGCTGGGCCGGGAGTACCTCAAGGCTCTGGTGCTCCTGGAGGGCAAGTTCAATTGGGGCTTGCTGGAGTATCTCAAGGATCTGGTGTTCCTGGAGGGCAAGTTCAATTGGGGCTTGCTGGAGTATCTCAAGGACATGGTGTTCCTGGAGGGCAGGTTCAAGCGGGACTTGCTGGAGCGGGAGTACCACAAGGTTCGGGCATTCCGGGAGGACAAGTTCAAATGGGGCTTGCCGGAATAGGAGTTTCTCAAGGCGCTGGAGTTCCTGGAGGGCAAGGTCGGTTTGGACATGGAGGAGTTGATTTTCAGCATCCGGTTGGAATCCCTCAAGTGCTAGGACCTCCTGGATTAGCGGCTGGTAAGTCGCCGGAGTCAGTCCCAGTCGTTTCGCCATGAAGGAGTTGACCCAGGAAAAGGTCGCCAACGAGCTCAGCCACCTCAACGTTCCCAATCGCCCGAAGAAGCGAGGACTGGTGAAGGTCTTGGGGATAAGGAACAAGGACTTGGAGGTGGAGATCTGCTCAACACGTTGGTGGCAGGAATGGCACAGCTCCAGCAGGCACAGATGGCAATGCTCAATCGAAAGGATGAGACGCCAGAGCAAGTCAAGCCGGGAGTAACCACACTGGCGGTTTTGGGACCACCAGGAACCCCGGAGAGCGCTGTGGCGGTTCAGGATTGGGTGGAACTGATCGACGGTCCCATGTCGGACATCAGCGACACCAGTGCGGTGTGGTGGAAGGCGGTGAAGACGAGGGCCCAGGACATGTACCAGCAGTGGGTCAACAGCACTCCGTATGACCGCCTCCTCCTCAAGGACCCCTCACCTGGAGACCTGGAACTCGGGAAGGACTCCCGGGTAAATATGAGGGCTGCTGGAATGGTTCTGAGTGCTCTTCCTGATGAGATCCAACGAGAGATGGTTTCAAGGCAGTGTACGAAGAGCACCTTGGGGATCATCTACCGCGTCTTCACCTTGTATGCCCCGGGCGGTGAGAAGGAGAAGACGCACATCCTTCGCTCACTGTCGGAACCGGCAAAGTGCAGTGATCCTGATTCCGCTGCAAAGTCGTTGAGGCAGTGGGAAAAGTGGGTGACAAGGGCGAAAGAGCTGTCACTGGTGTGCCCCGATCCTGTTGTACTTACCCGAGGCTTGGGTTTGATTGTCGGTGAGGTTTTGTCAAAGTTTCCGGAGTCGGAGTTCAGAACGAACCTCATGCGGAACAAGCTCCAGGTTGACACCAACCCGAACCTGGAAACCACGATGCATTATCATCAACATCTTCGAGCTGAGATGGAGTTGCTCTCTATGGCGGGCGCTAGACAGACACCGACACCGGCGAAGGCATCCTCACAGCAGGCCGATACCAAGCTGAAGCCTTTCCGACCTGAGGATCCAAAAGGAAAGGGTAAAGGGAAGGGCAAGGGCAAGCAAGATGGCTCGGAGCAAAAGGAGGGTGACCAGCGGTTGTGTCAATGGTTTGCAAAGGTTCCAGAAGGGTGTCGCTTTGGACGAAATTGTCGCTTCAAGCATACCTTCGAGGGAACTACGAAAAGGGACAAATGCCTTGAATGTGGAGGTGAAGGTCACTTCGCTGCCGTATGTCCTACAAAGCAAAGTGCATCCCCAAAGGCAAAGGCTGATCCTAGTGCGAGGCCGAAAGGTTCTTCTTCGAAGCCTACAACCACAGCTAAAGCTGAAGTCCTTTCTCAGGATGGGAGCCAACCACCCTCGGCGCCTCAGGAACCAGAGCCGCAGCCAACCTCACCTTCGTCAACATTGACATCTACCGTGTCTGGGTCGGGATCCAGGGAGATGCATGCTGCAGTTTCGGAATCAGCTCAGGCCTTGAGATCACTGGTGGGACAGGGGAATTCCTCAGAGGGTCGAACAACACTAGAAGGCCTACAAAGACAGCTGGATGAGTTGAGATTGAGGGCTTTGAGGGTGACTGATGATTTCGACCTCGGGAAGTTGAGATCCTTTGTGGACAAGAGAGTGTTCCAAGAGGCCCTGAAGCCCCCCAACGTGCTCATCGATTCTGGCGCCACCAACATCATGAGACAGCCTAAGGGTGATGAGGAGTGGAGTTCGGCTTCAAAGGTGAACGTGGTCTTGGCGAACAACGAAAGTGCCCAGCTCTACCAGAACAGTGCTGGCTCAATTTTGGCTTCATCGTTGGATATCCAATCCCTTCTCCCGATGGGCGACCTAGTGAAGATTGGGTGTGAAGTCCATTGGGGGAAAAAGGGATCAGACACCCAACCCTTGGTGTGTTAAAGACAACTTTGAGGTCGGGGTGTCCGGAGCTCAACTTGGCTCAGGCACAAAACCTTTTCGACCAGATCGAGGCGGAGAGAATTCGAGAGCTGGAAAAGGGCGCTAAGGAGCTGGAGGTGAAGTTGGACCATTTGATGGCGAAGGAAAACGAGAATTGGTCTACATCCTTTGAGCGCTTTGTCAAGACCGGGAAGAAGATCGACTTGTGGAAGGGGATTGAAGGATCGTTCCTGAAAGGCCTCAGCCCAGCGACCAGGGATGCTTTGCCAGTGGATGTGAACATCGAAAAGGGCTGGGAGACACTCAAGGCTACATCATGGAACCGAAGAAGAAGAAAGCTTCTCTTGAGTTCTACCCGGTGGCTTGTTCAGCTTTGTCCTCATCAAGAAGGAGCTCCATCGTTTGCATCGCTGGAGGACAATGGCCTTACCTGCATCACTGTGTCCGGAAGAATCCCTAGGGAAATGTTCGGGGTCCTCTTGTGGGGAGCAGCCACTGGAAGGATCGAGGTCATCGTGGGTGCGGGCGGATATGCTTCGTCTAGTGATGAGACAACGAAAGAGAGGCTTGCCCAGATGATCCTCCTCTACGTCGTCACGAGGTTTGGAAGCCCTTCACGAAGGACGGGTTTTGTCTGGATTGGTCCTGAAACGATGAATCCAGGTGGTCCCGAGGAAGCCATCATGGGCGAATTCGAGTCGTTAGCGGGCATGAAGTCGTACAAGTTCGACCAGGGTGCCTTAGGAGGTGGTCCAAGAAGATCGTCACGATTGCTCTCGAACTATGACCTGACCCACCTTGATGGCTTGCGTCAACCTGAGGAGGGGTCTTGTGGTGGAAAGGATACCTCAAGACAATGGCCTCGGCAGCTTGAAGTACATGTTCAAAGGGCGGTGGGTGAAGCAAGGTTCGCCCCAACAACAGGATCGTTGAGAGCTATGACAAAACAAGCATGGGAGGACCATGC